GAACTGACCTTAACAAAGCCCACAGAATTGAAGAACTGTATTGGCAACAAAAATCCAGATTGAGATGGCTAAAGGAAGAGGATGGAAACACAAAAATTTTTCATGCTTACACACTCCACAGAAGAAAGTTAAATGCCATTACAAGACTTACAACTTCCCAAGGCCATGTTCTCACATCTCAAGAGGACATTGAAGCTCATATATCAGAGTTCTATTCAAACCTTTTTTCATCAGAAGGTTGCTGGGATGGTGAAGCCATCTTGCCTCTCATACCACAAACCATTTCAGAAGACATGAACATTGCCCTGCTGAAACCAGTGACTGAAGATGAGATAAAAACAACCCTCTTCTCTCTCCACCCAGAAAAGTCACCAGGTGAGGATGGAATGAGTGCCCTCTTCTACCAGCACTTCTGGCATATTACCAAGTCTGACATTACTGCAGCAATTCTCAGCTTTTTCCAATCAGGTATGCTATTACAATATTGGAACCACACCATACTCTCTCTTATTCCAAAAGTGGTTCAACCTGAAAATGTGGGTCAATTTAGGCCCATTAGCCTCTGTTGTGCCATTTACAAGACATTGTCTAAGGTTTTGGCCCAAAGATTAATGGTATGTCTGAACTGTTGCATAAGCACTCACCAGTCTGCATTTGTCAAAGGGAGGCAACTTATGGACAATGTGATAATTGCCCAAGAAGCTTTTCATTTTCTCAACAGGCACACCTCTGGACCCAACTACTTCATGGCTCTTAAGCTAGACCTTGTGAAAGCCTTTGACCGTGTGGAGTGGAATTGCCCGAAAAGAGTGATGATTCAAATGGGTTTCCATGTTGATTTTGTGAAGCTCATCATGGTATGCATATCAACAACAATAATCTCCTTCAAAGTTAATGGCAAAGTGAGTGGTTTTGTCACACCCTCTAGAGGAATAAGGCAGGGGGACCCTTTGTCCCCCTACTTGTTCATAATTGTGGCAGAGTTACTCTCAGCCCTGATTCTGAATTTTCAAGAACAAGGTAGACTTCAAGGCCTCAAGCTATCAAGGAATGGACCTGCTATATCCCATCTGCTATTTATAGATGATTCACTGCTCTTTTGCAAAGCTGGAGTTGACCATGCAAATCACCTAATCACTCTTCTAGAAAAATACAGATTATTTTCAGGGCAAAGGGTGAACATGGATAAATCAGCAATATTCTTTAGCAGGAACACTCCTCAGTACCTCAAAGACAATGTTTGCAGAGTGCTTAATGGTATTGTGCCACACGGATCAACAAGGTACTTGGGCCTCCCTTTGGGTATTGGCAGAGCAAAAACAGAAGTATTTGAGTACATCTTAGACTCAAGATCCAAATTGCAAAATTTGAGAAATTGACTTCTCTCAGCAGCAGGCAAAGAGGTTTTACTAAAGTCAGTGTTGCAATCCCTACCAATAATCTCAATGTCCTGCTTCAAATTACCTGTCTCCATTTGTAAGAAAATCTCCAAGTTGTGTGCTCAATTCTGGTGGAAGTCAGGAGAACACATGGACACTGGGATACATTGGAAGAAATGGGATAAGATCACTCTACCCAAACGCAAAGGAGGACTGGGATTTCTTGACATCAGTTTATTCAATGAATCTCTGATATGCAAACAACTATGGAGGATAGTTACATAACCTGAACTTCTAGTGAGTCAAAATTTCAAAGATAGGTATTTTCCAAATGGCTCTATCACCAGTGCTGCGAGGACTCAAAAAGGGTCATGGCTTTGGAACAGTTGGCTGTCAGTGATGTCAATGTTTGCTAAAAGCCTGAAAATTGAAATCAGAGATGGCTTTTCTACCAGAATTGAAGACATGAATTGGGTTTCAAATCTGTCAAAGCTAAAACCATCTCTGATACCCATTGCCAGAGGGCATCTCATTTGGGTAAAGATCTACTGCAAAACAATGGACAAGCTTGGAATGATTGGCTGGTAAGGCAAGTGTTTGATGCTTCTGATAGTGCTGCAATTCTTGATATCAAATCTTTAAACCCTGCAAGACCAGACAGATATTTTTGGGGATTAGATTCCAAGGGAGCATTTTCTATTTCTAGCACATACAAGCATTTGTCTATCCAAAAATTTGTCAAACTGGATATCCCTGAAACCAGCTCAAGCAACTTAGTCTCTTCACAGATATTCACAAGATGTTGGCAGCATAAAATATTGGGAAAAATCAGGCACTTTTTGTGGAAATGCATTACTAATACTCTACCAGTGGCAGTGAACTTGCAGAAAAGAGGTGTTCCTTTGAGCATTGTCTGTCCCATCTGTGGGGATCATCCTGAGACAGTGGAACATCTTCCCTTTACTTGCCCAAGAGCCATCACATTTTGGGATAAAGCACCAGTGCAATGGGATGGCCTCCAACATCACACACCTTCCTTCAAATCATGGTGGCAGAATATCTGCTCCATCAAAAAATCAGAGGGTGCTTGGATACAAATTTATCCAAAAATATCCAATCATTTTTAACTTAACCACTTTTTTTAACTCAACTTAACTATCATCATTATAATTAAATAATATCAATCAATCATTCTTACAAACCATATCCACTTTAATTCACTATTCATCCACTCACATAATTTTAACTAACCATCACTTCAAATCATATCTCTTCTACTTCTACATAAAATCAATTTCAATTATTTTATTTTAAATATTATTTTAATATATCCACTAACAACTAACTATACCACATTTTTTAAAATTAATCAAATCAAACCAAAGAATCCAAACAAATCAAAAAATTTATATATCCAAGCATCCTCTCAGCTTTCCAATGTCTATTGACTAGATTCCATAATTGTCTTTTTCCCCTTACTGAGGATGTAGTGCTCTCAAAAGGGATGGAGTCGAATCATGGAGGAGCACACGAGGGTTTGGGATCAATCTTTTAAAAAATGAGTCAATTATATGTGATATTTATAAAATATTATATATTTTAAAATATCAATAAATTAAATAACTTAAAAATTAAGTTAACTATATTTATGAAGTATTATATATATTTAAAATTATCAATAAATTAAATAACAGTGCAATCGGTTCAACCACTGATCGGACCAATGAACTATTGAACCAGTAGCTTGACCGGTTCAATGACCGTTCCGATTTTTAGAACCTTGGTAAATACATAAATACATCTATCATTATATTAAAAGATTAACCATTTAACACTTTTAGCAAGTTTTTCCCGCCAAATACATTTAATGTCTCCTAAAAATAGAGCAGCATTAAATGTTGCCCTTAAATCATGGCAGTTGTTAATTTAGTTTGGAGAAAATCGTGGCAACTAAAACAAACAACATTAATTACGGCTGATTTAATATTTAAATGGTAAACAAATATTACTTTTTTATGACTGATTTAAATTTACGTCTGTTTAAAAGTAAAAAACTACTTTTGTAATTTTAACAAATTTGTACTCTTTAATGTACGGCTGATTTAAAATTAAGAATTTAGTTTTGTATTTTCACAAAAAATCGTATAAAGAAGTATGGCTGGAATAATAATAAAAAATTAATTTGTTAAACCATATTTTGCACTCATAGATACGAATTCTCATCAAATTCAAGATTTAAATTTGTGAAGAATGTATATAGATGTGGACTGATTGAAGATATATGATTCCTTAAATTAAGGAATTTTTTTCGGTAAAAAAAAAATATAAACTTTAAATATAGATTTTATTAGTAGTGTATACAAAGAATATTGTTACATTTAAAATTCCTATGAAGAAGAATTCTATTAATTTTCAAATTCAACATCTCATAAAAATAATATAATACACTTTTATATTCTATGAAACAATATTTAAAACCCACCGTTCAACATGCATAAAATGTAAAATTACCTAACATGAATCATTTTAACTTTCTAAAATCAGTACACAATTTGCTCGGTATGTACTAATAGTCTAATAGTTAAGAGTTAATATTTGCTACGACATCTATTGGTTGGAAAGAATTCCATTTTGTATGGAATTCGAAATGAAAAAACATATTCTGAAAATCAAATTTGGTTTAGAGATCGATTTCTTAATGGCCTTAAATTATGCAAATATATTGTTTCAGTTTTTAGGATTCTTTTTTATGATCTTAGTCTTTGCATTATATGAAATCTATACTTATATAAAAAGTCATCCTATTTGCTAGAAATAGTAGGCAGAAAAGTCAAAGGTAATTAATGCTTGCTGGAAATAGAATGATATTAATTACAGATTTGTTTTGGTATTTATAGGGTTGACATTAAAGATTTGTTATGGGATAAAATCAGAACCGATTTTTTTACCTTTGCTGGAAAAGTCAAAGGTAAAGTCAAAGGTAAGTATAGATTTGGTTTATCTCATAACATCGGTTTAGTTAAGAAAATCCCATCAAATCAGTTTTATATGTCAAGCCTATGAATAAAGATTTAATCGGTCAAAATTAAATCCTTATTTTACGTCACCCATAAATAAAGTAGATGTCAAGCCTAAATTGAAGGGTTTAGTTGTCTATATAGTCATTGATTTACGTAAATATATCTAATGTTTAAAGTTTGTGTAGATTGAAAATTCATTCTTATCTTTTTACAAAAAATCTTATTATTATTGTATGGAAAATCAAACTCATAATGTTGTGTACAAGGTGGTCTTTAATAATATATGATTATTTGTTTGTCGAATACTATCTTATTGTATAATTTTCATGCGTATTATAAACTTTTATTGAATATTGCATCTTATAATATAATATTTCTTAAATAAATATATCTCGTGCCTAGCACGGGTCATTTATGAAAATGATAGCATCATCTAATATTAAAAATAGCATCATATACGATTAAAAATAGCATCAAATACGTACTATATATATCTCATACATTTTTCTGTATTCATGTATATAATTTTAAGTCTGAATAAATAACCTTAAAATTGTGCACGTGGGCTCTGTACTACGTAAGATATAGACGGGACTAGTTATAGTGAACGGTGGTTGCTCCATCAAGTGATATTGGATGTTGTGATAATTCGAACCTTGGCCTGAAAGAAAAGAAGCAATCTCACTGTCTCTCTCTCTAAGCTAGCTATCCAGAAAGAACTAAATCAATCGCATCGATTGGTTAAACTATTTCGAGAACGAACTCAATCAATCAAATCGATTGGTGTTGGAGTGATTAATTTGTTAATTAGCTATGGAAGGATGCCCCGCCCATGCCTTCAGCTACAACCGTTCGCAGTGCGCCTGCATCCCCGGCTACTTGTTCAACTCCACCACCAACAGCTGCGACCTCTTGCCCGAGGTTGGCCCACCTCTGGAGCTCAGCAGCGGCGTCGAAAACTACGATTCACTCCTTTCCTTCCCGGAGACCATTTTATCCTTCGACTCCATCAGAAAGTTCACTCAGTCTCAGGCGGTGTTTCTCGAGGCCACGCTCGTCATGCTTCTCTGCTGGCTCGGATTCTGCCTCCTCATGCGCCTCTTCCCCCTAGCCTCAGACGGCCGTTCTCCCTGGTTTAATATTCGATGGTGGATTAGCCGTCTCGATATCTCTTTCGCCACTCGCCACTGGCTGCACGACCAGGAGCCCCTTGTCAAACGCAAGACCGAGCTTGGTGGCGCTTTCTCCATTGCAAGCTGGATACTCTTTATAGGCTTGTTTGCTGCGTTAGTACTTGTACTAATCTCTCTCTGTTTGTGTGTGTGTGTCATATACCTATTTTGTTTACTCAGGCAGCTGCTATGCTATTAATTGCTTACAGGTTGCTCTACCAATTTATTTCGAGAACAAATGTCGAGGTGCACAACATCCGAGCTGTAAACGCGCCCGACTTGGCTTCCTTCTTGAATGACTTTGAATTCAACATCACTACAATCTCCAACATGAGCTGTGAGCAGTTGCGTGGTCTTGACACTGTGGTTACAGGAAATCCTCTCTTTATTGAAAATAGAGTCTACCCACTTTCATTGTTTGCCAATGCTTCTTGTCTCAACACCACCTTAGGACCATCCGTATCTCTTAGGTGCAATAGCTGCCGGCTCTTTAGAGACTTCACCTACATTTCGTGGTATTTCGTTGATATCCCTAATAGTCCAGCTATTGCCATCGGTTTTCAGTTTAACCTTACTGCAAAGAACCATGGCAGCAACAAGCATTTGAGTTTTGTCAGTGGATTTTTGAAGAATTCCAGCGATTCTGATGGCAGACCAGTTACATATAGAGGGGCTGTGCCAAATATTCTGAAATTCAATCTGTTCCCTAGATTATACCGCAACTTGCGTGATTTAAAGCTCATCCAACCTCTGTTTCAAGATTTTCTCCCGGGTTCGTATTTTGGGGATGTAAATCAGCTTCGAGCATCTCTTGAGAGCTCCAGCAATGGATTAATCAATACGACATTGTGTATCAACTTCCTCTCTTCGTTTATTGTTGAGATCGACAATCAAAAGATATCAGGTCCCGGTGAGTTATCTCTAATATATTCGCGCTACCATTTCTTATATTATACTTGTCCTCATTATAACGTGTAGAACTATTAATGTTCTCGATTTTGGTAAAAGTTTTTATCCTTCTACTATCTTTTGCATGCTTGCTGGCTCTGAGTTCTTGATATTAGTGGTCTGGGATTCATTTCATTTGGAGGGACTTGATGATGCTGGCATTATTACAGTAGTGTTGTCAATTTATATGTCAGGGTTCTAAAAATATAGGAGCATCAAGGAAGTGGTTTATAGTAGGTATACTAGGTGGAAAAACATTTATCAGTTGTAGCCTTTGCACACCTATTATATTAATAATCATCCATCTTAGGGCTCGATGTATGATTTTTTTTAAAAACGTCAGAACTATTGTTATTGATTGATGTTATTTTGCATCAATTAGTAACATCCACTTGTGGTGTTACAACTCCATCTCTGTTATGTATCTCTGTTATGTATGGAGTTATGAAGTGGGAATTCATGTCTTCTCTTGTATGAAGACACTACAAATATGATGTTTTGTATACGAGACAAGAAAACAAGTTAGAGAAAATACATAATCTTTATAGTGCTTTTCACTTGTTGAGCCGAAACCATCAAGGCGGCTCGGGTTTTAGAGCGTGGAGAATATCGACGACTCTAGTAGCCGTCATATAAAAGATACGGGCAAGTTTTCGCTTATGCTACATAAAGGTTAGTCCTACATATATTTACATATATGTTATATAAAACCACTAACAGTGGTATCAATTCCTCCGATGTAATTTTTAAATAAAAAATATACTTATGTATTTGTTACATAAAATTCATTCTATTAATTATAAGTGTTAAATATAGAATGAGTGACATTCATGAATTTGTGATCATGAAAATATTTTAAAGAGAAATAAAAGAGAGAGAGAGAGAGAGGAATAATTAGGTTTTGTGGCCTAATTAATATATGAATGAAGTTTTTAATGTGAAGAAGATAAAAATGATTTTACTAATCTCTTTATTATATCTTCTTCTTTCATATTATTTGTTTAATAATAATATTTGTTATTATTATGGTTTTTAAATATTTATATGGTATTCATGTTTACCATTAAATAAAAATCTTTTGAAATTGTCATAATATTTGTTATTATGATGAAAAGTACAAATAAATATTTTAGTAATCTATATCTATATCTATATCTATATATATATAATAAGAATAACTATTTACTAAAAATAGTAGTAAAAAGTTTTAGGAGCATTTAATGCATACTTTTTTTTTGGAAACTTCTTAAATATTATATTTGGTGAACATCCAGATGGTGGATGACTGAGTTGGACTCACGCAATGTCGATTTTCTTGAGGATGAGTTCCCAAGTATTGCTGAAATTAAAAAAGACCTTCAGTTGTATGAGTTACAACAAGAAATGTAATTATCTTTAGGAGATGAGGGGATATGTTACCTCAACTAGTATCCAAAGATAAATGTAGTTTTTCTAAATTCTACCAGTGAACCATTGAACCAGTAGCTTGACCGGATCGATGACCGGTTCGGTTTTCAGAACATTGGTACTCACGCTTAATATCTTTCCATTAGTCAATGGAGTAATATGATGCGGCCTTAAGATTTTTGTTTCAATCTCGATGCTTGGCCTGTATTTGCAGAAAATTTAATAGATTTGATCCTTAGTATAGCATTATTTCACTATTAGCCTTTTTTCTCCATGAAAAGAGGACTTAAGAATGTAGGTTTTCAATTATTCATTGTTGATTATCTTTGGAAATAAGTTCCAGTAGAGAAGGCATATTTGAAGAGGGTGTTTGAAGGGTTTCTTTGTAATTTGTTTCCTTTACGTTCAAATTATTCTGGAGTCAATGAATTGATCTCACTTGCTTTTGCCAAAATGTAGTGAGCTTCCTTGCTGATCTGGGTGGCCTTTACTGCATAAGTATCAGTATATTTTTCTGCTTCTTGGTGCAAGTAAGTTTTCTTTTGAAGCCTACATTTTCGTGTTCCATGCATTCTTCTTTTTTTGTTTCTTTCTTTTGTTTGTTTTACATTATGCTTAAACTTGTCTTGTTTACCCTTTACTGATAGTTGCATGTGATATCTCGTAAATGTCTAGCATTTTCTTTATGTGGCATACGATTTGCTTGCCTTGAATGTATGCTATTGAAGTTGAGTATAACAACATATTAATCTGTTTGACTCACAAACCCCATATGATGTTTATATGTATTACATAATCTTGATTCAGAAATGTGCAAAAATTCATTTATGTCTTCACCTTCACCTGATCAAATCTGCAATTCCTTGATCACATTATGCTCTTATGTGGGCACCTTGAAAAGATAAGCTCGACTATTGAAACATGGCCATTGGCTAGTGTGGGCATCAGAAAATGTGTCTAGAGCTTTGGGGGTCAAAGCTAGCTGCTTAGTTTAGCCGAGTATTATGAATTCACAAAACTGTTAATATTTTTCCACTTATCTAACTTTAGTTATTAAAGTGAATTCTTTTATTATACTGTAAATACTAATTCAGAATATACCTAGGCAACATCGCATGCTTCGGTATCACATGGCTTTCAATGGTAGATAAACTTGGAAAGTATCACAAGTTTTAGTCTAAACCAAACATGAAGAAGAATTGGACCTTTTTGGTGACTTATTTCCAAACATAAAAATGAGTCAACTAATTATTTAATTGGTAAAAGGTTCCAAAAATCACTAGGTGCTCGCTAGGCGGTGGATCGGGGCCTAGCGCCTAGGCGGGGACTATCACTAAATTTATTTATATTTGTCATCATATATAATTGTAAGATATATTAAATAAGTTATATTAGTTATTATGGTCGAGTACAAAGATTTTGCAAAATGTAATGCATTCATAATTATTAATTATGGAATAATTATTAATATTCTTGTTATATAATTTATATAAATTTCATGTGTAGAAATTAGAATTGTCATTTTTTTGTTTAAAAAAGTAAATTTAAAAATTTGAAAAAAAACTACGGTTACTAGCGCCTAGACGCCGCGAAGACCGCCTAGGCATGAGTACCTTCACAACCGCCTAGCCTGCCTAGGCGCCACCTAATCGTTGGAGTGCCTAGAACGACTGCCTAGGCAAAAGTCGTGGCGCCTAGGTGCCGTTACACGCACGTGGAAACTTTTAAACATTTTTTTTTAAGAAAAACATGTTCTTGACCCAATGCAACATGTATGTCCAGTTTATCACCAAAACTGAAAATTGGCATACTGATGTGTGGATTGGAAGTTTGGGAATAGATCCAAACTTTTGGTAGGATCAAACAAGTTGTAAAGAAACTATTATGTACTCGTCCAGAGTTCTGATTCCATCATGTGAAGTTTAAAGTATTTATTCAATACATTAAACTATTGAACTAAGCTTTTAAGATTCCATTGGCTACCTCAGATACTAACTTTTCTTATGTACAGTGTGAATACAGAATCAAGAGGCTTCGTAACGAGGACAAGTTAATGATGACAATTAGAAATCGCACAAAAGCCCAAGATCGGTGGGACAAAGTGAGCTTTCCTTCTGTACTCTGAAATCTGACGAGAGAGAGTGAGTGTGTGTGTGTGTGTGTAGGTGGGTGGTCTCAGTTGGGATTCTTTTTCATTCCTTTAACTACTCAATCCTTTTATTATAGTTGAGAAAGTATGTGAGGTACACGTGGGGATCTTGCTCATTGGATGACGGCAGAAGTGGGACAGACAACACATGCTGCTCTGGACTTATGACCAAACCCTTCCATCAAAGTGGGGCATCACGTAGACGACGATTGCAGGGATTTGATGGCATCAGTTTTAGCCAAAAGGTCCCCATCTCCAATCATAATGTGCCGGTAGCTTTTATGCCTCAGCTATTGTAGTTTGATAATTTTATCCCATTCTTTATTTAACCTTCATAAATATTTATTTTCTTTGCACAGCAGAAAGCTCAACCTCAACCAGAGCATGTTCATTGTCTAGAAGTCACATCTTGCGTAACTGAAGGTGACAGAGACCAAGAAAACAATCACCTTTCTCAGAATGTAAACCAGTAAGTTCATTCTGTCTGATGGATTTTTGTTGGGTGACCAATCCTATAACTAAAAAACGACACTTTTCTCCTCATGTCAAGGTGTAAACACAATGAAAAGAAAAGGAAGGGTGTGATTACATTTTCCCTCAAATCGTCGTTTTCTGCTGATATGTTTGAGAAATCTGAAAAGAGGAATATTATTTCAAATCGAAGTAATAGCTCTTTCATATTACATTGTTACAGTTGTAAAGACCAAGCCATTTATGTGAATGCGATGAAAGAAGAGCTAGTTTCTTTTGGACAAAATTGACACTCTTGAACTCGAGCTTATAGTTTCTTAGTCATCATTTTGATATTCTATGACATTTTGTTTTGACAAAGGGCATAAAGAAAATTGGTAAAGCTGGATTGTCTGAGAGGATGACATTAATCCTAGTTCTGTATGGAATTGATGAGAAGTAACTCCTAGTTATGTATGGAGTACTCATCAGAAGTAGCTTTTAGTTGCAAAAAACAGTGAAAATATATTGGGTTGGTTAAATTCCACAAGCAGTTGACACTATTGGTTTTGTGACTTGTCATCTTTGTTTGCAGAACTTAGAGGTACTTGAATTTCAGAAAAGCTCCAATGTTGTATGAATATCCCATAATATTGAGGGATCCTAGTGAAGAAGGACTAAGGTTCGAAGATCTGAGGATGGCCTTCAGCTGGGTATTGTGAGTGAGAAGCAACTGATAGTTGCGCTACTTTGTCTCAAAGGAAGCTTGCTGTAAAGAGTTTAGAATTTTCAAATTGATGAGCTGCTACCATTGTTTGTTGTAAGGAACATTGATTCATGTGTATGTGTTGTAGAAAGTGATATCAAGGATAACGGGCAGTTATCTTTTTGTGCATATATACTGTCGCATTGTTGTTTCACTGTCCGATTCTGCTTCCACTTTTTTCCGGTTCTGTTCTTGTCAGTTATATATATGGATTATTGGACTACAGATTGCTTAAAAAGGAGAAAGATTATGAATTCTAACTGGGAAATAAAGTAATAAATTACTTCCCCACCTCAAATTTCGTGTTTTGGCTAAGTATCATATAAACTGATGGAGACGAGATCGCATTAGCATTTATAGAAAAATATGATCGTTTACAATCTTTAGTTTAGTTATTTCTCTCTTAAATATTTTATTATTATGCTTTATTCTATTTTCCTAAGTTATTATTTTTACTTACTTAGTAAGTTTAGGGTTAGGATTAGTTGAGACTTTATTTATATCGTCTCTTTCATTTGGGAAGACTTGGTTGTTTATGAATAATTTTATCGTATCTTGAGATTTATCTCTTGTTCCCTTTTTGTTTACGCTGTGCTACATAAGTTGGTATCCAGGGTTAGCTATGATCCACGATGCCGCCCAAGAGGAACGACACCACGGCTGATGAGAGACGGGATGCAGCAATTGAAGCCCTCACGCGACAGGGCGAGGGTTTCGGGCGGCAGTTCCATTCAATGGGCCGGGATATGTCGGATTTGGCGGCGGGCATGGAAGATATCCGCGAGGCTCTGCAAACGTTGATGAGACGCGACCAAAAGAACCGCGGCGAGCTCGAGGGTCGAGACGGCGGTTGCGGTGGGCATCGTGGTGGCCGTGGGGGGCGCGGCCACGCGCGCTTTGGTAGCAGACGGACTTCGCCGTACGAGGAGGAGGGCAGTGATTCGGATGCTACGGAGGAGGAGTATAACCCGTTTGGTCGGGGTTACCCACGAGCAGATGAGGAGGCACGCGACGAGCGGCGTTGGGAGAATCTGTTCCGTGTGGAAGTATCGGAGTTCTCGGGTTGGCTAGACGCAGCCGATTTTCTCGATTGGATCGCATAAGTGGAAGCGGTTTTCGAGTACAAGGATGTCCCAGATAACCATCGAGCGGGCCTCGTCGGCACACGGCTGCGAGGAAGGGCTGTGGCGTGGTGGCAGCACCTCAAGGACTCGAGACGTCAACTGGGTAAACCTAAAATCGTGACATAGGCCAAGTTCCGGAAACATATCGAGAGGGAATTTCTTCTGTTTAATTATGTGAGTACCATCTATCAACAACTCCAAAATTTCCGCCAAGGTGCTCGGTTCGTGGATGAATACACAGAAGATTTTTACCGTCTACTCACACGTGTCGATCTTCGTGAGACGACGGCTCAGAAGGTCTCCCGTTATGTGGGAGGGTTACGTCTCGCAATTCGGGACATGTTGAATTTATTTGCGCCTGACACGGTATCGGCTGCCCATCAACGGGCCTTGCTCGTTGAACAGCAACTCTCACGGCGTCTTTCCTCATCGTCCGGGTTTCAGCCACATTCGGGGTTGCCGTCTTCTTCCTCGACTAGGCAGAATCGGTCGGCTGCTACAGGTGGGTTCCCGGCTTCCCACAGCGGCGCGGCAACAGGGGTGTCGACCGGACAGATGGGCGGGGTTGGCGGAGCTGCAGCGACGGAGAATGCCCGTACGGGTGGTGGGCCATGTTGCTTTTCGTGTGGTGAGACCGGCCACCGCCAGTCCGCGTGTCCTAGGCGCGGCGGCAACCGCACTTTGCTGGCGGAGGACGTCGACGGCGACACAGCGGAGTATGATGGTCCACCTATTTTTGACGTTGAGCCTGAGCCGGTGGAGAAGCATCTGTGTGGCAACGAGGGCTTGGCGTTGGTTCTTCGTCGTTCGTGTTTGTCACCTCGGGCCTTGACTAATGACTCGTTGCAGCGGCACAATATTTTTGAATCCACGTGTACGGTAGGTGGTCGTATTCGTTTCATTATTGACTCTGGCTCTTGTGAAAACGTTGTCGCTCAGGATGCTGTTGATCGTCTTCAATTGTCCATGGTCCCGCACCCTCATCCATATACTCTGGCGTGGATTCAGCGGGGTAATTCCATCAAGGTTGATCGTCGGGTCTTGGTGCAATTCTCGATTGGCCCCAAGTATCGTGGTTCGGCGTGGTGTGATGTGGTGCCCATGGACGCCTGTCACCTCCTTTTAGGTCGTCCTTGGCAGTTCGATCGTTCGGTGGCTTATGACGGACGCCTCAACACTTACAGCTTCATGTTTCAGGGCGGCTGTTTGGTGCTTCATTCTTCACCTCCTCACCCGGTTCCACAAGACACGCCTTCCCCAGTTCTCTTTTTGCATCGCGCGGCTTTTCTCGAGGAGATGCGGGAGGCTCCTTATATTCTACATCTTCTTGGTGTGGATGTGGAGACTGCTACGGCTCCTCCGGCCATTATTCAGCCCTTACTCGAGGAGTTCTCTGATGTGTTCCCTACTGAGTTACCATCCGGCCTCCCTCCGCTTCGGGACATCCAACATCATATTGACTTGATACCGGGAGCTTCTCTGCCTAATCGTCCTCATTATCGTATGAGCCCGGCTGAATATGAAGAGTTGCGCCGGCAAGTGGAGGAGTTATTACAACGAGGGGTTGTTCGTCGCAGTTTGAGCCCGTGTGCTGTGCCGCTCTGCTCATTCCAAAGAAGAATGCCTCATGGCGTATGTGTGTTGACAATCGCGCTATTAATAAGATCACGGCCCGTTACAGGTTTCCTATTCCCCGCCTCGATGACCTTTTGGACCAGTTGCATGGCGCTTCAGTTTTTACCAAACTTGATCTTCGCAGTGGCTATCACCAAATTCGGATTCGCTTAGGCGATGAGTGGAAGACCTCTTTCAAGATCCGGGAGGGTCTTTTTGAGTGGCTGGTGATGCCCTTCGGTCTGTCGAATGCACCTAGCACTTTCATGCGAGTGATGAACCAGGCGTTGCGTGACCTTATTGGGCGGTGTGTCGTCGTTTATTTCGACGACATCCTCATTTATAGTCGCACTGTCACGGAGCATTTGGATCATGTGCGGGCGGTTTTGCTGATTTTACGTTCAGAGTCCTTCTTTGCTGCGCCCCGAAAGTGCTCTTTTATGGTCGATTCGGTTCTATTTTTGGGCTTTGTCATCTCTGCGGCTGGCATTCGTGTGGACGACGGCAAGGTGGCTGCCATTTGGGAATGGCCGACTCCGGCGTCGTTCACAGAAGCACGGAGTTCCACGGTTTGGCTTCCTTTTATCGTCGTTTCATTTCGAATTTCAGTTTTATTACCGCGTCTATCACTGACTGTCTTCATGGCAAGTCTTTCGTCTGGACCCCTTAGGCCGCGGCTGCTTTTGATCTTATCAAGAGTAAGCTCACGTCTGCCCCGGTTTTGGCCCTTCCTGATTTTTCTCTCCCGTTTGAGCTTTCATGTGATGCTTCGAAGGTTGGGATTGGTGCCGTGTTGAGCCAGGAGGGCAGGCCTGTTGCCTTCTTTAGTGAGAAATTGTCTGGGCCGCGGTTGCGCTGCAGCACTTACGACGTCGAGTTCTATGCCGTGTTTCGGGCTGTTACTTATTGGAGACACTATCTTTTCCATCGAGAGTTTGTTTTATTCTCCGACCACGAGGCCCTTCGCCACCTTTGCTCTCAAGGGAATATCTCTGCTCGCCATGCTACATGGACTTCTGTTCTGCAACAATTCACTTTTGTGCTAACGCATCGTTCGGGGGCTTCCAATCGCGTGGCCGATGCCTTGAGTCGTCGTTCGATGTTGTTGACGGATATGCGGGTTGACGTTGTGGGATTCGATTTATTGAAGGAACTCTATGCTACAGACCCTTTTTTCGGGCCCATTATTACACATCTCGCTTCGGGCCCGATCGATGATTATGCTCTTTCTGATGGGTTCTTATTCCGCGGTGTGCGGTTATGCATTCCCGACTGTAGCCTGCGTTTGAAGGTGGTGGCCGACCTTCATGGTGTCGAGCACGTGGGCCGCTCCTTCTTCTGGCCGTCTTTACGACGGGATGTGGCTCGTTTCGTGGAGCGTTGTCATACTTGTCAGGTGTCTAAGGCTGTGGCGTCCAATGCCGGCCTTTACAGGCCTTTGCCGATTCCATCTCGCCCGTGGACCGCGATTAGCATGGACTTCGTCTTGGGTTTGCCTCGCACGCAACGAGGTAATGATTCTATCTTTGTGGTCGTTGATTGTTTTTCCAAGATGGTCAATTTTATTCCTTGTAAGAGGACCGCGGATGCTCTTCACGTGGCTACTTTATTTTCTCACGAGATTTATCGTCTGCATGGATTGCCGTCTTCTATTGTTTCTGACCGTGACACTCGCTTTCTGAGTCATTTTTGGCGTAGTTTGTGG